TTTCTTTGATGGAGATCTTATTGGACATCTGAGCATTTTAAAAGAGTTTCAAATAAGTCCACTAATTTTAATGAATGAAGACTGGATGTTAAAGCGTAACAACTTCAATCACCAATTCAAAGTTCCTAAAGTGACTCGTTATGATTGGAATACAGGAGGGCCATCTTTTCGTCCTGGGTCAATAGTATTCTATACGGATGGATCGAAACAATATAATATGGTTGGGGCTGGAATAAGTGGTCCTGGGATCAGCCTATCGGTGCCGATGGGAAAATGGCCAACAGTATTTCAAGCTGAAATATATGCCATCCTAGAATGTGCCACGATATGCTTAAAAAGAAATTATAAAAATGCAAACATATGTATTTGTTCAGATAGCCAAGCAGCGTTGAATGCTCTAAAGTCCAAAACTTGCACTTCAAAACTGGTTTGGGAATGCACTAAGCTATTGCTGCATTTGTCCTACTGTAATAAGGTTAACCTATACTGGGTTCCTGGTCATTGCGGAATCGAAGGGAACGAAAAAGCTGATCAATTGGCTAAAGTGGGATCATCAATGCAATTTATTGGACCTGAACCATTTTTAGGATTATCTTTTTGTGCTCTTAAAATGGAGTTCAATAACTGGGAAAGAATAAAGGTACAGTGCAACTGGAATAATACCTTAAATGCCCGGCAATCAAAACGTTTCATAGAGCCCAACGCTTTGCACACACAAAAACTGCTGACCTTATCGAAACACGATTTGAGTACATATACTGGTTTGATTACAGGACACTGTCCTAGTAAATATCACCTTAAACTTATCGGAAAAGTTGATGAAGACAGATGCCGTTTTTGTAAACTAGAGAGTGAGAGCTCTAAACATCTGCTGTGTGACTGCGTTGCACTATTTCACAAACGACGTATATATCTAGATAAGGGGCTTATGGAACCCTGGGAAATCTGGGCTGCTTCTCCCAATCAAGTTATACATGTCATAAGGAATGCATTACCTGTTTGGGATAATTGCCAACAACAGTAGTGGTGGTTGCTCATATAAATAGCATCTTGCCATTGCGTTACGGCAAAATCAAAAGAGGACACACCACAATACACAGCAAAAAAATAATTTTGATAGCACGTCAAAGTGGATGCACTACAATCATGTCGAAAATATGGTGTAATCTTACTTGCTAAAAAGGACAAAATTATCATTAATACAATGCATGAACTGACATTACGCTGCTTTTACTGCATTTGTTTATTTATGTGGTCATAAAAATTACATGAAATTTTCGACATGATTGTAGTGCATCCACTTTGATGTGATATCAAAATTATTTTTTTGCTGTGTAGATCAAAGTTATGATCGCGGTGGTATTATGTCCCCAACACAGGAAAAAAAAATTAAACTAGATATCATGCAAAATTAATCTAGGAGGCAAAAGACGGCTAACGACTAAATTTAAAAAAAACACAACACACTGTGAAGGTTTTGTACGCAGCCTCAACAACACGACACACCCACAATACACCCCTAAACGCTGGTATTTTTGATAGCAGTACTGCCTGATGGGTGGATGCTACACAGCAAAAAAATAATTTTGATATCACATCAAAGTGGATGCACTACAATCATGTCGAAAATTTCATGTAATTTTTATGACCACATAAATAAACAAATGCAGTAAAAGCAGCGTAATGTCAGTTCATGCATTGTATTAATGATAATTTTGTCCTTTTTAGCAAGTAATATTACACCATATTTTCGACATGATTGTAGTGCATCCACTTTGACGTGATATCAAAATTATTTTTTTGCTGTGTACCTACAACAACCACAGAAAAAGGCCTATTCGCCCGTTCCTAAGGATTGCAAATATATTGGCTCGGTCACTTGCTTGAGCACCAGGAAAGCACCCACACCTTAGCTCACGAAGAAAAAGTTGGTGAAGGAATTTATTCTCCATAAAGCGGTGGAAAGGTTCTACGAAACCACCAGAGTCGTCACTGCCATAAAAAAAGGTAAGCTGACATAAGTGGACGAAGCGAGACTCTAAACCTGCGAATCCAAGAGAACGAGACCAGTGTGATCGTCGGCAGTCGGCACGATTGTCACGAACGATCATCACCAGATATCGGGGAGGCCAGATCGGCGCAATCGGGGCAATCGGTACGATTGGCGCGAACGGCAAGGAAGGAGACCAAGGATTCGACTAGGCACGGAGACATCGTGCAATCCGTTGCGGAACCAACCAGCGACCCGAGCAAAGTCGGTTAACAAAATGAAAGCAAATCGATATTAAAGTTTGCAGTTCCTATCATAATGAAAACTCATTTTGATTTCAATTGTCGCGACAGAAGTCTGATATCATATTGTGCTTTCATTATGCAGTCAAGACTTTTTAAATCAAAGCAACTTAACTTGAAGTTCTGCTGTTAATTTCTTGTTTAAAATTTGATTTAAGTTAATCTGTCGTTGAACTAACGATTATTGTTTATTTGTTTTGTTTAACACATTTTAGGTCATTGGTGACTAGTCCGAGGTGACATTTGAGCTCAAATATTTCAGCGTAAGAAGCATGGATGTTAACCATTTACCACAGGCCCGTATTCAGTCAAACATTATGAATGCAAAATCAGTAATCAAATTGATTTCATTGAAAGCAGAATTAGTTTTCCGTTTGATTCAACAGTGTAAAATGTTGCTCTCATTTTTGCTGTGTTAACCGTTAAGTCAACCAAAATGAGATCAGATGGAGTATTCAAAATAAATTACATCATAACAGCAAATTCTGATTTCAATTTGATCTCTAACTTTGCTCGGGGAGCGTTCATCGACGGGCCCGACACTGACACCACACACACAAAAAGAAACCGTGAGTAGTTTACATTTAGGAAGAGATAGGGCTGTTAGGGCAAAAATTTAATAAATCGCCGTCAGTTATCAATTTAATTATCTTGTGTTTTTTCCTCTAATTTCGCAAACCTCGGCGGAAAGAAGCCGACCCAGAGTGTGGTTAGAGTCACTTGTAGGCTGAGCGGGCGTAACAAAAGGGACTTCGCATTTCAAGCTTATTGCTTATCGCATATTAGCTTATTGCGTGCTCTCAACTTTGTGTTCTAGATGCACTTCCACAGTTTTTAATTGGGAGCTATCGATGCCTGTACCATTTTTGCATTGTTATAATTGTTTGGCAAGTACAATCATACTCTATGCCCTGGGAAGTCGAGATATTTTCCGTCCCGATATTAAAAATTAATTTTAATATTACATCCAAGGGGATGCACTTCAATCATGTCGAAAATCTCATGTAATTTTTATGACCACAAAAATAAAAAAAATCAAGTAAAAGCAACGTAATGTCAGTTCATGCACTGTATTAATCATACTGTTGTCCTTTTTGGCAATTAATATTACACCATATTTTTGACAGGATTGAAGTGCATTCACTTTGATGTGATATCAAAATTACTGTAGATCGTGTAGATCGGACCGGGAATCGAAACCAGCATGGTCTTGATTTGTAGCTGCGCCTTTACCAACTGAGCTAAGGGTTTAAACAGTGCGTTCTTTGCACTGAAGTATCAGATCAAACGTGTTATTGAATTGTTCACGGTGTCATTGATATTTTTATTCTACTCGATACGACGAAAAAAAATAGGTGATTACGACCTCTCCACCTCATATTCACCACGGTAGACTTTGAAACATTTTAAAGATCGCACATCTGAAAAACAAATCAATATTCTGCGTCTTAAGAAATGGTCGAGAGACTTGAAATTGGATATATGTCAATCACTTTTAAGGCTTTAAAGTGGTATTTAATAAAAATTTCAATGGCTTATCGAGGAGAATGTCGTTATATTTTTAAATAAAATCCTAGAGGGATTCAGAGTAGATTAAAAGGGAATTGTGAAGATAGCAGCAGCACAGCTCTGATGCGAGTTCTAAGTAGAATTTTTATGTGATGCTGAATAGAATTCTAGACGAACTTCGAGAAGAATCTACAAGTCTGAATAGTCTGATGACCATTTCAAGAAAATCGATTCCTGAGAATAATTCTTAATGATTTCTGAGGCAAATTCCAAATTAATCGTACTGTGATGATATTTTCAAATGAGGAATTTGGAATCGATTGGAGTATTCAGTGGAGGATCACTAGAGTGTGATTTAGTAAATTTCAAGGAAATTCCAGAAAAGCCCAAGGTTATTTCAGGGGAATTCTGAAAAGATCTACAAGAAAAATCTAGGATGCTTCCTAAAAAAATTTCTAGAGAAAATTTCCAACAAAAATTGTGAAAAGTATCAAGGAAATTTTTAGGTTTCTTCCAACATAAGAAAATTATCAAGATTCTAGACATAAGTAGACACAAATTTAAGTTGATGATAATGGTCTCACCTCTTACCTCTACACAGGTTTGAGCTGGACGATTTATCTTTAAGATAATTACACACAAAGAAAAGTCGTTTATAGAATTATAAAAACCATTGGTAGATTTAAAAGTTTGCATTGGTTCTTTTTGGTAAAAAGCGGTTAGCTTTCAAAATAAAAGTCAACCAACCGTCATTTCAAAAGTTGTCCGCTCGATACTTTTAAAAGTTCAAATTTTCAAAATGAATTGTAGAACTGTCAAATGAAAAATGTATTAGTGTTGAAGTTAAATGTGGATTATTTTTGACTTGGAAATGTGGCATAGTTAAAATTAAATAGGCATTTTGAATTTAAACTAAAAAAATTTCAAAAAATATTTATTTGGCAAAAAAAATATTTTAGTTTTAATTTTAGTGGATAAATATTCAATCTTCTTTATCATTATTTTTCAATAGGATAATATCCAATTTTATTTTTACATTGTTATTGTTATCTTTGTTGATGTTTACGTTATTGCGTCTTGGAGCTATTCTCGCTTTGAGTAAACCTGCTACAGTAACAGGTACATGGTGATGTCACAGATGCAGGGTTAAGGGCAGAAGACAACCTCCAGCATTGTCAGCAGCGCGATTGTTTACCGGTGGAGATTTTACGGCAGCGGATAGCGGAAGGAAGGTGTCAAATTAGACCGTTTTCGGTGAGGGTTTCTGTGGAATATTAATTAAATATTGTTATATACCTTTAACATCTACTGTTGTAGTAGTCGTCGAACACTCACTTTCATTCCTAGCCATCTCGTCCGCTCGCAGATGACTATTGTTTCGGTTTATCTGAAATTAATAAAAATCTCTAATTAAACTCTACTATTGTTCTTAAATTTGATCGCTTACCTGATGCGATTATTATTTTCCACGGAGGAAAATTATTGTCCTTCCCAAGTTTTCCTCGCTCTTCGTGACAAATCTGACGTCAAGCCAAATTAAGCGGCAAAACGAGGTCCAGTGCTGCCAAAAACTTTGCCTAGAAAATGTATTTTTGACAGTTGAACAACTTTCATTTAAAAAAAATGCACTTTTAAAATTTCAAGTCGAAGCTGAAAGAAACACTTTCAAACCAAAAAAAAATAACTTTTATTGTTGTTAAAAAAACGAAATTTAGAAAACTTTTAATTTGAAATGGCATTATTTTTATTAAAACAATTTTTGTTTTTTGTGTGAAGTATGACATCTGAACCAGATTAGCAAAAAAAACGAACTGGTAACAGTCACAGATATAAATCCCCTCAACAACTTTCAGTTGCTTCAGGGGGTTATAAATGTGAAAAAGCTTAGGTGTTCACCTTTCTGTTAACCCTTTTATCCACGTCAAATATTCACAAGCATTCTCAGCGATTCGTGAATAATCAACAAAGTAGCAACCCCGCAATCTGATTCTATCGTAATTTTCAGCAATATCAAGAATGCTCACAAATCCCGACAATCAGCCAGAAAACCTACTACTAACAAAGCATCTTCCAAAAAAACTTCAAAGTACAATTTTTTTTATCAAATGTGTAAATTCAGTCCCCTATACCCATAATACGCGCGCGAGGCTCAAACTTTTGCAGACTATTCACAATAACTTTTTTTTATTAACTACTACTATTAAATCAAATATCAAAAATCCATCATGACCATTGTAGCGATGAAAATAGTTGTTGCAGTGCTACACCCAACCGGTGGATGTAAGATTCGCTTACAATTATGTGGGATTCATCATCAGAGGATGTAAGTGGAGACCGCATGAACCGAGGATGCGATATACCTAGCTGCGGTCCAATGCAAGAAAATTGGAGACCGAAAAATGTAGAGTGTATTAGTGAGGTAAATTAATTATGTCGAAAAAAAATAGGAAAAAGGTTGCCGACTGGACTCGAACAACGAACGTTGCGATTATCAGACCTGTGCTTTCTCCACTGCTCTCTCCATGCTTCTGAATAAGGATAGCCTAAAAGCAAACAAGAAGCGCTCATTTCCTCTCACACTCGACTTCGTATGCTTTTTCTGCTGAAGAGATTCGAGGCAAGGGTGTGCGTCGTTCTACCATGTTATACATAAAAATCAAGGCAAATGCTTGCTTGTGTAAGTGAAAGGACAGACAGAACACGAAATAAAAAACGCAAAAAAACATTACATCGCCTGCAAGGTCAACTTCTAACATTCGCTGCGATGTTCATGAACAGAGGATGATAGGAAATGGAACTAACATTCATTGTAATAGATTTTTGGTTTGCGTGTACAATAAGTATTAAAAGTCGTGTTGAAGTCAACTGGCTGATATGCCGCCATGTTATTGAAACCAACTTCTGAAACGTCACAATTCAAGTGTGAACTGCAAAAATGGCGTGACTAGATTGTCTTATTTTTATCAAATTACATTATTTTCCCTTTTATGCCATATGAATGGTTGACTTCGTTGTAGAAAATCAGAAAATAATGCTTTATGAGTTCAAAGTTTATATTTCACAAAATGTAAGCAAAAATATTAAGAATATCCAAAATATCAGCAACGCCTTTTTTGAAATTCTGGCTTGAATCTTTCATTTGTTTACAAATTATGAGCGTTCAGTGGGGCCCACAATTCGTGGGCCCGCAGCGATGTTAGCTCTTGTCAAGGTAAGGCCACCTAGCTGGTTGAAGTGTTTTTGTCAGGGGGCTGGCAACCCTGTATCAATCCTATACGTTCGACAGTAATTATAATTTAATAATAGCCCGCCTGACGGTGGAAAAAGACGGAAAATCGTGTTATAAGCAGAAAGACAAGAGCAGATGATAGCATCAAAAATATGGCCGCCAGCCAGGCCTCTCGTTTTTGTTTACGTCCTTTGTCAAATAGCCAAATGTCAAATGAAGGGCAAATCTTCTACAGCAAAACAATACCAAACGGCGCCGGTGGTGTAGTGGTAAGCGTGATTACCTCTCACCCCAGCAGGCCTGGGTACAATCCCAGTCGGCGCCGCCGGGATGTTCTGAGGCATAACATCTCTGATCACGCCTTCCTTCGGATGGGAAGTAAAGCCGTTGGTCCCCGGTTCATGAGTTGATGGGTCGATAGGTAGGGTCCAGGTGTGGGAGCTGCCTTTCTGTGGCACGTCGGTAGCATTGGTGCTCAGCACGGAAAACAAGATCGACGGAAAAAACAAACCAAAGGGGAAAAAAAAACAATACCACATTGAAATCAATACGTGAAATATTTCTGTGTCTAATGTGTCACGGAGAAGAAATTCTCATTATATTTAAATTCAAATAATTAATTGTACGAATATTATATAAAAAGCCAAAGATTCCTAAAATAAAAGACCGTATACCATTTAGACTCCGCAGAGGCACGCTGCCTCTCGGAGACCAGTAAATTGTGAGTTTCACTTTCACTTTGGATTCGCCTCAGTATTTCGACGGTTCGAATACTCTTCTTCGCCGGACCACGGAACAAATTCACAACGTAGGACCTGGTCAACCCTGGACGAAACATTTGGTGCCGTGACCAGGGGCCACATTGCGCATCTCGAAACGAAACACTTTTTGTACGAACGCTTGTATGAAAAAGTTTTTCGTTTCGAGAGCAAGCAAGCAAGTTTCCAACCCGAAGCAACGATGGAGGATACAAAGCAAAAAAAACTGTCGCGATCGCTTCAAATTGGTGTCACTGCATCGACATCGAAGTCAACGATATGGATTGAGGAATCGTCACTGCTCTATTGATTTCGACGAATTAGTACGGCACCTTCGATAATCGATGACCAAACGGACAATCAACAAGCTCTGATCGCATCAGTAATCGCCAGCAAAATGATTCGAACGCCATCGTCAGCGATTTTCATTCAACGGTAATCAATTCCTTTTCCGCTTTACTTTCCTGTCCTACGATTTCCTGAACCCTGATTGAATTTATTTGGCTAATGGCTCACTGGTAGAGTGAACGTTTCCGGAACACAGTCCTCCATCCTCAATTCAATCAGGTTCTAATCCCTATTGCTACCTCCTATGAACTCAGGCCTCGCACTCGGCGTGGTCAGGCCAGTGTTGTCACACACGGCACAGCCACCGCAACGAGTCTCACAGCGGCAGGATCAGCAACTCGGATCATTTGTCCCGCTATTCCTATATTCCTTCATACATCCCGACAACCTTGTTGAATGGTATTGATCACCGTCTATGGATTTACCTGTGTAAATTGCATCCAGTTCGTCAAGGAAGTCATGTCGGCTGAATGTATCCAGTCGCAACATTGTGAGTTTCATTTTCACTTTGGATTCGCCTCAGTATTTCGACGGTTGGAATACTCTTCTTCGCCGGACCATGGAACAAATTCACAACGTAGGGCCTGGTCAACCCTGGACGAAACAGTCGTTATGACAGCTATCCATACAAAATAATCCGTTAGAGATAACTTCTTCAAGATACAATTATAAGTCAATTCATAAAAAAATCATTGGATAACTGTTCAATATACAGTTTTACCGTGTGAAATGCAGTGTCTAGGCATCGAATCGAAATATTTTTTTTTTTTAAATATAATGAATTTTGTGAAGCACAGGTCAAGAAATGTGGTGTTCTTATTTCATCCGCATTTCTAGTATTATGTATATGAAAGTCTCTTCCTGGATCACACAAATATTGAGGTAGCAAACCGTTAACTACTTTTAAAATGAACACCATAGTCAAATATTTAATTCTTTTCTTCACTGATAACCACTGTAAAGCGTCCAGCATCAAAGTTGCGGAAGTGAATCTATTACATCTCAAAATCATACGCATTATTTTATTCTGCAAGCGCTTTAACTTCGATGTTTGTTTACCATTGGCCAAAAATAAAATGGAAGGGCAAAAGGCTGAGGAGAGATGATTGATTTGTATAGCTGTATTTTACTGGCAATAGTTAAACCGTTTTTCAATACTCTGATACACACCACGTCTCGCTGGCGTATAACAACACAGATTTCACGTTCGAGTTGAAAATTCGGCTTTTGGTGCGTTGACTTATCTGGTTGGATCTCCATACGTTTCGTAAACTCGCAAAGGTAGCCCTAGCCTTCTTGATTCGTGCACCTATGTCGCTCTTGGTCCCGCCGTCCGACGCTATTTGGCTGCCAAGATATTGGAAACTTTCGACCTTCTCCACTGCTTGCCCCAATACCGTAAAGTTGGACGGGTTGCCCGTGTTGATATCCAACGAGTTGGTCTTGTTGACGTTGATGGTGAGACCCGCCGCAGAGGAGCGGCTAGGTCATTTAGCTTACTCTGCATATCAGAGCGCCGTTGTGCTAGTAGAGTAACATCATCAGCCAAATCGAAGTCGTTGAGATGCTCCATGGTGATAGGCTGCCAAAGCAGCCCACGGTTCGGTACACGGTCAATTGCACCTACGATGATCTCGTCGATTACGATGAGAAACAGTAGCGGTGATAGTATAAAGGGCGAACACGAAATTATTGCGACACCGAAAATGTCATGCCAATTTTCTTATAATGTTTAGAATCAAACCAAAATTTTAGGGTAGTGTTATGCATATATTTACTTCAAAAATCAAAAGAAAAGTTAATCGATGGAGCCTTGAGTGTAAAATTGAACGCATTTTCGCTTGATGCCCTCCATCAAAGTCTTTACAGTGTCATCCGGTATCAGTTTCTCAGTTTTTTTTTCCATTTTCTTAACATGTCCTTCTCGTCTTTGACTGTCTTCTTGCTCTTCCGAAGTTCCCGCTTCATTATTGCCCAGTACTGCTCCACCGGGCGCAGCTCCGGAAAGTTTGGCGGATTCATGTCCTTTGGAACAAAATGGACAGAATTGGCCTCATACCACTCCAGGACACTTTTAGAATAGTGGCATGATGCCAAATCTGGCCAAAATAGCGGAGCTTCGTCGTGCTGCTGCAAGAACGGCAAAAGGCGCTTCTCGAGGCACTCAGATTTGTAGATCTC